TACGTTCAGTGCTGAACCGCTGCTGTTTAGAACTATTTGCCGCTGCATGACCCACGTGACTTTAGCATTCCATTCTTTCTATGGGAGTGTCGCAACTCTCTCTTTATAGGGCTCTGATTGCAATAGTCCAGTCTAGATGTGACAAATGCATGGACCAGTTTTTCTGCATCATTTTTAGATCAGATGTTTCTAATGTTAGTGATATTACGCAGGTGGAAGAAGGAGGTTCTAGTAACGTTTTTAATGTGGGGGATAAAAGACATGTCCTGATCAAAAATAACACCAAGATTTTTAACAGAGCTGGAGGACAGATTAATGCATCTAAGGAGGGAGAAAGACTGAAAAATTAATTCCTAAGGTGCTCAGGTCCAAAAACCAAAACCTCAGTCTTGTCTGTGTTCAACAGGAGAAAATTAAGGGTCATCCAGGTTTTTATATCTTCAAGACATGCTTGTAGTCTAAGTAGCTGATTGGATTCATTGGGTTTAATGGACAAATATAATTGTGTGTCATCAGCATAACAATGATTAATGTTTAATAACTTTACATAATGGAAGCATATATAAAGAGTATTGGCCCAAGCACTGAGCCCTGAGGAACTCCATGACTAACTTTGGTGTATGAAGAAGATTTATTATTTACAAACTGGAATCTATCAGATAGATATGATTTAAACTAATTTAGAGCAGTTCCTGTAATTCCAACATCATATTCAAGCCTCTGTAGTAAAATATTGTGATCAACTGTATCAAATGCAGCACTGAGGTCTAACAGGACCAGTATAGACACCAGTCCATTGTCTGAGGCCATGAGAATATCATTAGTTACTTTTACTAGTGCTGTTTCTGTGCTAAATGAAAAGTGTTAAATGTTATTTCTGGGCATTAGTCAGCTGCGATGCTGTCTCACTTCTGGAGGCTTGTTTCAGGTTCCTAGCTGCAGTGTGGGATCCTCTGCATTCCTGTGCATGAATGACAACCTTTTTAAGATCAAAATTTTTGTCTATCCATTGTGTCATGCGATTAATCGTGGTAATGGGACTAACATGATGTCCAAATGTCTGTGGTAAAACTCACCCAGCAAGTCGTGCTATCGGCTATTATCTTCTCAATGACGTCAGAAATGACAGCTTGTAACTCGGGTAATGTTACGTGGAAAAATATCTCAGACTGGGGATGATGTAGCGAGGCTCTACGTAGTCTATAAATCTTCAAAATCCAACATCTTCACCAACGAAAAATAAAACTTCACACCGGAGAAATGCAAAAGAGGCATATGAAACCTTGACATGTGCGCAATCTGGGAGACCTTTAAGAGAAAGCCATAAGTCATATCAGTGAGAGAGACACTTTGGGGAAAAAAGACAAAAATGTCTATTTTGAAACAAACTGCATAAAAAGTATAAAATTTCAACTTTATAGTCCATTTAATGAAATGGAGATTTGTCTTTGACATCTGGCTCATAAAAACAACAAAAGTTAAAAATGTCATTAAAAAAATTAAAAAAAACTTTAAGCAGCTTTGCTAAATCAATTAAAAACATTCAATTAAAACCATTTAAAAATACATGATACATATGGAAACATCCCAGCAGACAGTGGTTTGTCGTGTGAGGCTGTGTTTAAATAGGACCTTGTTAATAAGTACATTCACCGCAGAGGGAACAAATGACTTTTTCAACCCATTCATCTTCACCAGAGGAACCAGTAGTCTTCTACCAAATGGTACCAACCTGAATAATGGTTGCAGTGGATGAGTTGGCTCATTGTAAACCTGGATTGCCTTTTTTTCCAGAACCTGACTGTACAGGTCTGTGTCATTTGTTGATGACCAATAACTTTGCTACGTTTTTTGACCACCCGGGACAACTTGTTCCTGTCTCTGGCTAGGAGGTTCCCATACCATGACACAACATTAAATGAAACAACACTTCCAACCAGTGACCTGTACACCAACTGCAAAGTAATTTTGTTTGCATTTAAGCTCCAGAGTTTATATAGAAGGTGGTGACGCTGTCTGGCTTTTTGTAAATACAGTCAGTGTTGGGTTCAAAGGTCAACTTGTTGTCACATACTGTTCCAAGGTATTTAAAATCAGTCACCTGCTCTACTTCCTGCCCTTTTATAATAGAAGGCCTAAATGTAGGTCTGGTGCTATATATTTGGTGATTAAGTGAATTTTGGGCTCAATCTCTTGATTTCCTGTTTTGTACTTCAGTAACCTCTCCTGTGGCTTGGCCTTGGTGTTAGCAGAGAGAAGGAAATGAGTGATTGGACGTTTTCCTCCTGGGGACACAAAAACTCCCAGAGAAATCAAACAAGCGTGTAGTTTATTTGCTCTGCGATCACTAGGTTTATGAGCAATGCGGGGAATTTTATTTATTTTTTTCCACTTGTCAAAAATGTAACCAAGATCAAGGTCCTCATATATTTAGTTGCAATTTTTTTTTAGTTTGCATAACATAAAAAGCAAATGTACTTTCCTAACCATTTTACCAAATCTGACAAATCTGTATAAGACTAAAGCAGCTTTCTTATTTCTGTCTCAGTCTTCAGAGTGATTTTGTTGTGACTTTAAACCGTAGGTAGTGTTCTTTCTGCAAACTTTCTTTTCTCAAGAGTTGAGCATGTTTTCTGCACAAGCAAACAGTTTCTAAAAGTTTCCTCTGGTGTGTTTAACAGTGTACGCAGATAAAAGTACTGTGTATCTTCTGACCTCCCTCTCTCATGTGTATGCTAGAGGATGACACGGGAGTGGATATTCACTCCTGTCCTGGTCCCACAGAAAAAATCCTGTCCTGTCCCACTCCTGGTAACATGACTCCTGCTCCTGTCCTGCTCCTGTTTTTCATTTAATTTTTAGGAAATACATTGAATTTGATTTGATCTTCTACTCATTCCTGTTTAAATTACTTTGTGTTGTGCAGTTTTATTTCAAAAGATATGGCAACAGGAACAGTTCATCTGTGGTGAAATAGAGACATTTATTTCCTTAATCCAAACAAAAACCTTCACTAAACGTCACAAAACAAATAATACATGGCCTGTAGTCCATATAATTTATCTACGGAGGATCAGCTGCTGAGTCCTTGTTTCTGGCTCTTTTGAAGGTCAGTTACAGTAAAAACAAAAATCTAAACCAGTCCAGGGGTCACACCATGTCTACCTTAGATGAAAGAACCCAAACATAACAAGTTGCATTTTACTAATTTATTGAGCAATTGTTTCCTTTAAACAGTGACATCACTGTCATGTTTTAAATTGTTTAAATAAACAAACAAAAAAAGAAAAATAATGTACCATGCAAGAGAACAAATAAAAATGTTTAAAGGCGTTATTATACATTGGACGACGTCCTCAAGAAGTTCAGTGTATGTGGTCGAGGTAACGAGCTCGTTTGGGTGAAGCATGATGTCGTGCATCTTCCCAGACTTCAGAGCATCATTTACAGACTGGACCATTGCAGGTCTGGTGTTCCACCTCATCTCTCCACAGCTGGACCAGTCCAGAGCCTTGTGGAACCTAAAAGTGAAAGAAGACGTGCACGAGTTAAAATAGTGTTACAGTGACTACAAGTTACAATCTGTTGGTCTTTCTTCTGGAAAAAAAATATTTGATCAAAAACAAGAGATTTACAATTGAAATTAAGTGAAGAAAATGTGACATTTGCAATTACAAATTACAGAAGCTCAATTTTTCTTTATTTCACTTATCAAGGGTCAAGACAAGGGTCTTTGTGTCCAAAGCTGTTTAACAGTTTGCTTCCAGAGCTAACAGCTTCCTGTGTTAGGTAGAAAAATTAAATTAAAGACAAACAAAAAGCTTAGTGCTACTTCTTCTTGTGACATGCTTTATAAAACAGTTATTGAATCAAGTATTTACTTATGTAGGTAAACATAGATGTTTTAAACCTGTTAAAATACACCAGAATGCAGGAAATAGCAGCTGCTTTATTCAAAAAGTTATGGGGGAGGACCCACAGACCTCGCACCAATATGTCCCCCCTACAATAATTCTAATGATAATACACACTGCGTGGTTCAAGCCAGGAGCCATTGTCAACACTGGGGGGCTAAGACTCCTAAACAGGGCTTCTAGAATCACCCCTGGTGTGAAGAAATGAACTGAGAAAAATCAACTCTTGGCCTAAAATTTAACACAACAGCATAATTGTACACATCATATCTTAAATCTAAAACTGAAACAATTATTATAATATTTATGCAACCAGTCTTTCATATAAAAACTGGGATATTTTTACCGGAGAATGCGTGCACTTTAACCAGGAAGAGTTGTTTTTTTTACTTTACAAACAGCAACAGATAATAAAGATTTTAACCTAAAAACCCACATAACAAAGCAGAGCATAATTTTTAAATTGAAAGGGACAAGGTGGAGAAAAATGTGCTGTTTGAGTTTATTTACTGACGGTAAACAAAGTCCAACTCCCCGCAGCAGCTGAGATGTTTAAAGCAGCACAGCACCAACACAACTCTCATGCAGTTCAGGGTTATTTGACACTTTACTGCCTGTTCTGTGAGTTTAATAGACAGACAGTTACTTCTTACCTTGTGTTGCAAACTATTTTCAGCTACTCGATTTCTTTGCTGGAGACTTCGCTGCTCCTCCCACCCTCTCGGTGAAAAGCTACGGCTGGAACAGTTGACTTCTGGGCAATGTAGTTCTTTTAACTTGCGTTAAAGTGAAAGCTTACTGAAAGAAAACTGCAAAATAGCTGCACAGTTTTTTGTTTTCATTTTAATTTTTGGTTCTTGGTCGGTTTCCACTCCTGTCTGCTCCCATTAGCTTCCAGTCCGGTCACGTCCCGGTCACGTGAGTTATAATGAGGTTGACTCCGGTCCCGCCGAAATCCTGCTGGAATCACGTGACCCGCGATACTCCCAATAAAATGTCATCCTCTAGTGTATGCATGGCTTGTGTCAGCTGCAGATCAGCATCTCACTAACTGCTTTTCTTCTCTCTTTTTCTGCCACTCTTCAGCCTTGTGACCTGCGCAAGCATCGCAGGAAGGTAAATTACCTGTACTAGTTTCCTACTGTACAGGGCTTTTTGTGAAACCTGTCCACCATCTTAAAACTCATGTCAGAGTACCTGACCCAAAGCTAATATTTAACATTCGCCATGTTCAGCGTCACCCTGAAGTGTAATTCTGTTTTCAAACAAAATGCTTGTTTCCTACAGTGATACTCATAATCATTTAGCTCATTTTGCTGTTTCAGAACAACAGTTACTGTATTAGTCATGCAAAAGGTTGTTTACATGTGTGTTTTGTGTGTGTTTTGTGTGTGTTTTAAATATGTTGAGATATATTAATTTGCTGATGGATATTGAGAACCAGCACACTATATGTCAAAAAATGTCATGTTTGGACTGTTAAACTGCTAAAAGTAATGTTGCTTGTAAGTAAATGTATAAATAAGTCTTACTCCAGCTCATGTTGCTTTAGTCAAACTTACAAGAAGCTGCTTAAGAGGATTTGAAATGCCACATTTGGCACCAGAGTTGCATGTTGCAGAAGTCTGCTCTGGTATGAGTACAGAGAGATATCTTCCATCCATCCAACCATTATATTCCGCTTGTTCCGAAGTTGGGTTGCAGGGGCAGCAGCTTGAGCAGGGATGCTCAGCCATCTCTTTCCACAACCACCTCTTCCAGCTCAGGACCTCAAGGCGTTCCCAGGCCAACCGAGAGACGTAGTCTCTCCAACATGTCCTAGGTTTTCCCTGGGGTCTCCCCCAAGTCTGACATGCCCAAAGCATGTCCTTAGGGAGGTGTCCAGGAAGCGTCCTTACCAGAACCACCAGCTGAGGCTCCTCTCGATAAACATCTTTTTCTTAAATAAAACTTCAAATTTTGTCCCCAGTCTTTCCCTCACTCATACCCACATATGTACATGTCACACATATCAGAATAGATCAAAATGAACATTACGTGAGAGTGTGCTTACCTCCAAAAACTTTTTCAATCCACAGTATCAGACTACAAACTACTGAAACTTATGTAAATACACATACAAAATTTTTTATTGAACGTTTTTTGAATTTATGTAAATACACCGAAATATGACTGGTTTTCAGAACTTAAAGGATATTCAAACACAATGTTTTTTTTTTACGAGTTTGGGCATTTGTGGTTTAAATACAAACAAGGAAACTGAACCACATTGAACCTCAAACAACCGGACATCTAACACGCCTCCAAAACGATCAAAACAATCTCACTTTGTTTCCCCTACCGTTATCCAAGGAGGGTGCGCTGCCCTGTCAACAGAACCGAGTGCCATGCCTACTGAAATGTCCTCCCACACACACACGCGCCACCCCATCCCCCACCCCCGTTGACAAATGCCGGCACTGACGTAGCACTAAGATAGTGGCTCGCAATATAGACATGCTAGCTCTATTTGTCTCCACCCCTGTTGGATTTGCTGCCACTTTTTTGTCGCAAATCGCTCCTGAAACTTTTCTCCATCCACTCCATCCTGCCTGGACTTTCTTTTTCACGTCTTTACCACACTTCCCATTTTCCTGGACATTGGACCCCAAGTACTTTAAGTTCTGCACGTTTGTGTCCTGTGCTCCTTGTAACCTCACTGTTCCATCTGTCTCCCTCTCATTCACACACATATACTCTGTCTTACGGCTGTATGTACAGCTTACTTTCATTCTTCTTTTTTCAAGAGGGTACATCTACCTCTCAAAGTTCTCTTCTACCAATTCTCTGTTCTCACCACAGATCACAATGTCATGTGCAGATATCATAGTCCACAGGGTTTCCTGCCTGACCTCATCTGTTAGTCGGTCCATCATCAGAGCAAACAAGAAGGGCTTCAGAACTGATCCTTGATGCACTCCCACCTCCGCCTTAAAGTTATCTGTTACTCCTACAGCACATCTCACCACTGTCCTGCTGTCCTCATACATGTCCTGTACCAGTCTAACATATTTCTCTGCTACTCCAGATTTCCTTATGCAATACCACACCACCTCCCTTGGCACCCTGTCATATGCTTTTTCTAAATCCACAAAGACGCAATGGAGTTCTTTCTGACCCTCTCTGTACTTCTCCATCAGCACCCTCAAAGCAAAGATGGTATCTGTGGTGTTCTTTCTCAGCCTGAAACCATACTATTGCTCACAAATAGTCACTTCTTGTCTAAGTCTAGCTTCCACAATGCTCTCCCAGATCATCTTTGTGCGATTCATGGACTTAATCCCTCTGTAGTTGCTACAACTTTATACTACTTCTCCAATCCCCAGGCCTTTTCTCACCCTCAAATATGCCATTGAATATTTGAGTCAAAAACCTAACTGCCCATCCCTCTTAAACATTTCCAAACCTCCACTGGTATGTCATCAGGTCCTACTGCCTTCCCCTTCTTCATTTTTGTCAAAACTTTCCAAACTTTACCTCACTAATCTTTTCCACTTCCTGGTCCACAGTTTCTATGACCTCAGTGTTTCCCCCACCGTTATCAAATGAGGGCGCCCCACCCTGTCAACAGAACTCATTGTCATTGCCCACGTGAGCGTTGAAGTCCCCCAGTAGAACAAGGGAGTCCCCAGGAGGCGCACTCTCCAGTACTCCTTCCAAGGACTCCATAACGGGTAGATAATCTGAGCTACTGTTTGGCGCATAAGCACAAACAACAGTCAGAACCTGTCCCCCCACACGTAGGCGGAGGGAGGCTACCCTCTCGTTCACTGGGTTGAACCCCAACGTACAGGCACCAAGATGGGGGGCAACAAGTATGCCCACTCCTGCTCGGTGCCTCTCGCCAGGGGCAACTCCAGATTGGAAGAGTGTCCAACCCCTCTCAAGGAAACTGGTTCCAGAGCCAGAGCCATGCGTTGAGGTGAGTCCGGCTATTTCTAACCGGAACCTTTCAACCTCACACACCAGCTCAGGCTCTTTCCCCACCAGTGAATTGACATTCCACGTCCCAATAACCAGCTTCTGTAGCCGAGGATCAGACCGCCAGGGTCCCCGCCCTCGGCCACCACCCATCCCACATTGCACCTGACCCCTTTGACCCCTCCCTCAGGTGGTGAGCCCATGGAAAGGGGGACCCACGTCTCTTCTTTGGGCCCGGCCACCAGGTGCTCGCCAGCGTGCCCCACCTCCAGGCCCTGCTCCAGAGTGGGGCTATGGTGACCCACGTCACGGCGAGGGAACATAGTTTCCATTGATTGTACTCATTATAAGGGTCTATATATACAGGTCCTTCTCAAAAAAATTAGCATATTGTGATAAAGGTCATTATTTTCCATAATATAATGATAAAATGAAACATTCATATATTTCAGATTCATTGCACACCAACTGAAATATTTCAGGTCTTTAATTGTTTTAATACTGATGATTATGGCATACAGCTCATGAAAACCCAAAATGCCTGTCCCAAAAAATTAGCATAT